GTAGGCTTTGGATCCACCCCTATGTTGTGGATATCCCAAAGATTCGCACGAAGCGTTACGCTTCCACATTTATATGGCGAACGGCTATGGAGTGGAATTCTCTGCCTGCAGACTTATTTCCTGAACGTTATAACTTGGGTCTTTCCGAGGTGAGAGTGAATAGGCATTATTTAGGTGTGCATGCTCCATCGTCGACCTCATCGTCACTTTCCATCAGGTGAGATGGAGGTCAAATGCGCACTTATACTTTATGAAAAACAACTGTTATGGATAGGCATGTCGCTTACCACCAGGCACACGAATTGTTCGTCCAGTTACTTAATATTATAAAACGAATCACATCTATTCGCCAAATTTAATTGAAATTGGTTACCGAAAAGAGCGCGAAACTGGATTCATCCTCTAGTTAGCCACCCTTAGAGATGGCATATTTTCTTCAAATTTAAATGGGACCAATACTGAGTACCCTCTATCCAACAAAAAATAAGATTCATCAAAATTGGTTCTCAAGCCGCCGTTCTCAAGCCGCCGCAAGTTATCGCGGAACACATACAAAAAAATACAGTCGAATGAAGACCACTATTTTGAAGTCAGTTAAAAATAATTACATTTCGTATGCGTAACAATCACGAAAACCTAAGAACTTGATATATTGTAATTTACTTAACTGCCGCCGTAGCTGAACGGTTGCCATGTTGGTCTGTCACGTAGAGATCCCAGGTTCGATTTCCAGACCGGGAGAAATATTTGCATGGCTTACTTTTATTTATCTCGTGACTTTGGGTGTAATTAGTCTATATTGTTTGTCTATGTATGTGTCCATAGGACCCGCGACACAGGGTTTCCCTGGTGCGGGGTTATGAGTGTGTGAGTTGTTTATTATTTATTTATACCTATTTTGTAACAATAAACATTATTATTACTAGGATTTTCTTTCATTTTTCAGCCTGTTGGGTGGTTAATAACCACACTTATTATTATCAGATCTATGTTGCGTCCAGTAAGATCGGTCCAAAATATAAAAAAAACATTTGTTCTTCACTGTACAAGGATATCATTATTTGTATCTTGGATATTTACAATTAGAGAAAATCGTTCGTGTAAATCATTACATTGGACCAGTCCACTAATGAAAACGCACACACTCAACATAGCCCCCGCACTAGGGAAAATCCTGTGTCGCGGGTGCCATGAACACACTCATAGACAACCACAAATTACACCCAAACTCACGAGATAAATAAATGTAGGCCATACAAATATTTATCCCGGCCCGGGAATCGAACCTGGGACCTCTGCGTAGCAGTCCGGCAAGGTAACCGTTCGGCCATGGAAGCATTAAAAGATCCGTGATAATATCGTATCTCCTGACAAAATGTCACAACTACCATTAAGCAATTTTTTTAGAGAAACGTATGTTAGGCTTAACTGTTACCAAACTCGTTCTACTAATGCATGAGTTATATTCATATAATAAGGATGACATACGATTAAAGCAGAGTGTACACTTTTGAAAGTTGTATAAATTATAAATCTTAAACGGTTATTAAAAAAATATTAGATGCTGTAGTTAACGGCGAGAAGTGCGATATGTTTTAACAAAAATAACTCGGATTTAACAAAAATGTAATATATGTTATTTTATCAAAAGGATAGTAAACAGTATCTTATTAAAATCAACATCTCTATGTCGCAGCGCGTAGGAAAAATAAAGGCAAATCGAATAATGGCCGTGTTCGATCAGACAAATCCGATTACGCCGGGATCAGATGTCTCGAGGAGAAATTATTAGCAATCCGGATTATCTTCTGTATTATTAATTGCTGTCTGTTTTGATAGGTTTGTAATTGTGAGATTTCAGGCTATTTTCTGATATGGTTTATATATTTCGACTGCTTGGAAACTCTGATCAAATTAAAAACAAATCGATAGAGCTTTTATTGAAATTGGTTAACGGAAAGGAGGATGAAATCCTATTAACCAGATTCATCCCTTAATTTGTTACCCTCAGAGGTGGAATATTTTCATCAAATTTAAACAGGACCACTACAGAGGCACCTCATTTCTAAGAAAAAAAATAATTGAAATCGGTCCTCATCACATTTTAGAGCCTCATTAAATATTTTTTATAACGTATCTAACAGCTATCAACGTATAAATTTCCCCTACATTTAACATATCAACCTATTCCATGCCATTGTTAACAAAACTGACCCGGTAACCACGAAAAGGGCATTAACCGTTAACACTTTCCCCGCTGGGCCTGGAGTAGACAATAACGTCATAACACTAATCCGCTGCGATCCCTCTACGCTTTCACCCTCGCGCCCTTTTCAAAACATTTTCAACGATTATTTAGGGCTTGTGTTAAAAATGTTTATTTTATTTCAATTTTTTTTTAAATTAAGCATTCAGTTTTAATTTTTAAAAGTAAACATTAAAACATTATTATTGTTTCGAAATTCCATTAGTTCACAGTAATTAATATCAGTTTTGTTTTAAATGTTAGCAGTGTCCAGGGCATGATGCCACAGAATGCTTTCTTCGACGAAAATTCCAAACTTTAATTAGGTAAGTTTTTATTCTATGTCACATATTTTTTCCTTTATTATCCAAAAGAAAATTAGCAGTGGTTCTTAAATCTAATCTACCCATATATTTAAATGGCTACAGCCGCCGCACGGCATTATGCGCTTTCTCTTCACAAATATATTTCATAATTCGTTTTTCTTTCTTTTCTTTATTTACTGTTACGTAAATATATTTAATCCCATTTGAATATAATTTTATTATATTTTCAACGTTTTTTACGATATCAAGTGAAGGGATGAACAAAGATCTGAGGAGTCTGCCACTGCAAGCCGTCACTCTGAGACATGTGTTGGCATTATGTGGTCTGTGGTTGGCAAGTCCCATGTTCTTGTAATTTCACCAACACCTACCCTTCAAAACCGAAACGCAGTAATGTTCACATTACTATTTGGCTGCAGAAATAGGTAAGGTGGTAGTACTTCCCTTGAGGAACTCTTTTGTAAGGAGCTGTGCTGCTACAAAATATTATATATAACGCAAATTTGTACCAAAATGCATTGATATTTATCTTAAGATGCTTATTATAGTCAGACATGAGGAAGAAATATCACAGCAAGCAAGACCTATACGCAAAAAATTCTCGTAATAAAAAAAATCTAATAATCTCCTGCTTGAAATTCAAACGGCGCATCATAAATAAGAAGTATTCCCTCATCAGCACCACAGATGGAAATTGAAAATTAATATTTCACACAATACCGCATCGGTTACGTTACGATTCAGTTTTATTTAGTTTCGTTATGTTACTTCTTGCCATCGTGTTACCGTGTAGTTCCTTTGTGTTATTAGAGCGGGTCGGCGAACAGAAATTTGATGAATCCTTTGACCAATCAAAAATTAATTTTGAACCCATACTTTCCTTATGTAAAATTGTGAGCTATTATGTTGGAACATTGTATTGATACTTGAGTTCTCATTATACATATACTTTAGCTGTACAAAGTAGAATCGTTGCCAAAATCCGATACCCCGAGGCGTAATCTCGCATGAAATTTTGTACCTATAACTGGATTTTTTTTCCATTACATGTGCATTTCGGCCTTTAAAATACGTAATTAATAATTTTGCCGAGAACAAATTTTTTCACACCTACATAGAACACGAAATTTTGAATTGAATGTTTTTTTTTGTCAAAATTGTAACTTACGTCCGGTCGCTATACATAAAGGGAAGGATTTATTATATTATTTGCTTTATTTAATAACGTGTAAGACTTACGTAGCTTAAATATATAGCTTAAAAATATCATTAAAATATATTTGGTCTAAAAATAAAATATCTATTACAAATAACAAATATAAATGGTTGTTTTGAACGTAATTGAAAAAAAATCAGACTTCTGATTTTTAATTTTGGTATACCTTTTTGTAAATTTAGTTCGACCAATAATTTGACAAAGTTCCAACTCGCCCCCAATCGTTTGGGCATAAAACTATTTCGCAATAATGGACAGTCAGGAGTCATTTGTCAGAGGGTCGGAGGGCGACAATTAAGTTTCCTTTGACAGCTGTATTGATTACGTGATCTAAGCCTATTATTATTCGCCTCAATTTGATGGATTTTAGGAGAGTATTTTTTGTTACTAAATGAGGGTAATTGTAAATAAAATTAAATAATAAGTAGCTGATAGATTCAAGATACCAAATAAAAGAATACAACTTAATTACTTAAAATATTAAACAAAAATAACTCACTAAATATTCGTAATATAGAAGAAAAGAAAATATATAATATGTATATTTATTCTGGTAATGTAAAATTAAAACTTAATTATTGGAGGCTAGGGTTGCCAAAGAGTGATGCTCTAAAAGCTGGCATGTCTTGCTAATGCGTTGGACAAAGAAAATGCCTAATTCGGGAGCTCTAATTCAGTTTGACAATTTTTTTAGATATTTCATCGGCTGGATTACCATTCTCCAATCTTAATTCTCAAATTCTATTTTTGTGCAAGCAAAAGGGTGTTTCACAATATTTATAAATAAATCAAAAACAAATGTAAACGACTACAGACGAATATATTTATTTGCATATGTCATTAAATCCTATTTAATTTTTTTTTAATTCCCGTAATTTAAACTTTTTGTTATTTTAAAGCAAAGGAAAGTTACGTTAACTAAATAAGTTAAATAAATTTAAGTACCTACTTAAGAATATCCAAATAAATTAAAAACTTTTAAACAATATCAAAGTACAATCTTATTAGATTCCACTTTGGAACTGAAAATGTAGAGTTTTAAGTCAAAGAAACAAACTTTATTACAAATTATATTGTTTAATCTGTTTATGTACTCAAAATAATATTATAAACATATATTATGTACAAATGATAAAGAAATTTCTCTACGTACCAATTAACATTTTTTGTTGGATAAAACTGTGATTTATGATATTTAAATTAAATTTCATACCTTTTGGCGTAACTACCCTAAATGCGCTGTTGGTAACTGGTCTAGGAGAGTCTTCTCGAAGTCCGTTTCCTGGAGATCCACTTCCACTCCTCACCATGGAAAAGTCCAGGGGCATCGGTGGCAGCGCACTAACTTCCATTTTCCCGAAGTCAAAAAAAAACTTAACGCATTGCAAAAAAAAATTGACAACGTTAGAAAAATCTAACACTGATAACACAAAAAAGTAAAATTGAAAACAATAAAAATGGAATGTTCGAAAACCGAGTTCGAATTTGGAATAGTCGCGGAACGTGCGACCGGCGCGGGCTACGAGTATGTATTAAGCCAGTAACACACTGCGTTCGGTTGCTTTGGCGTTCGCTAAAGCCGAAAATCTCTCGAATCTCCATAGTGATTTCGACCTTATCGCTGTGGCGTTTTTCTGTGGGCGTGGTGAGATAAGCCCCGCCTCTCGCGTCCCTGCCGCCATGTGCCTCGAGTGACAATCACTTTGTATAGGTAACACAATAATATGATTCGTGATGGATTTTATTGTACTACCGATGCATTTATACGCGAGCAATTGGATAAAAAAGTTGAGTGTGGAGATGTTTCGTTTTTACGCTGTATTTTCTGTATGATAATGGGGAGTTTGTACTGTATACACCTAAGTTTACATTTCCTTATAAATGATGCTCTATTGATTATTGTCGTTGTAGATAGGTATTAATATGGAATTTTAATACAGTACTTGCACATACATATTTATTACACTCAAAAAATCCCATTAAAAATACGCTGCCAAGTTTTTTGTTTGATCCAAATGTTAAATTTAAAAATATAAATTTAAATTAAAAATCGTTTATTTGACATGCAATTAGAAGAAAAATATTTTTTTTTTTTTAATGATAACATAAGTGCCCATTTGACTTCCATCTTAAGTGATGGGATGTGAAAATAACTTGACTATTTTATTATATTATTTTGAATGAATTTTTTTTTGAATCCAAGTACCGGAACGAAGAAGTCATGAGTCATGAGCTTGGTGGTAAGTTGCAGTGCTACTCAAAGATTTAAATCGCAAAAATCTAAGGTGCACTGTCACTGCGCCTGTTACCCTGAGACATAAGTTGATAAGTCTCATGTGCCTGTAATTTCACCAGCACCCTTACCTTTCAAAGCCAGAACGCCGTAACGCTCACATTTTAATAATAATATATATAATAATATATATAAATAGGTAAGGTGGCAGTACTTTACTGGACGAACTAAAAAAAATTAAATACTTAAGCACCGTAGACTTAACTTCTACTTTTCCTTTATGTCCCTATCTACCGACCCGAGAGATAAGGTTTTTCGGAGAGACTGCGGGCTCGACGGCACGACCAGGGTACAGCGGGCGTCCGGGCCAAGCCCTCCGCCAATGATGCGCCTTTGCGTATCCGGTCTTTGGTCTCTGGCGGACCCGGATTTGGGTACGGACTCGCTGGGGTTTGTGGTTAGCTGCAGAGACGGACATATTTGTCTGCCCCGGTTGCATGTGTCCGGGGCGTCTGACTCGTGAGCAGCCAGCGGCGTCTTAGTAGCGGTCTAGTTGAGGGCCTGAAGCGAGGAGACGCGCGAGGCACGTGAGTTGCCCTTTAAGTTGGAAGCTATGTCCGGACATTGTCGCAGGATACTGCGACTGGCATCTCCGGCACTAGCCCGGAGAGCTAGTAGAGGATCTAGATATCTTCCAGTCCCTCCAGTCGCTTAGGTTATTGGGAACTGGAGAGACTCCGTTCATCCGGTGTCAGAAAGTGAGCGTGCCTTACAGCTCCGCCATCAATGAAGAGATTTGGTAGTTGGCTTAGAGTCGGCGGCTCAGCGGTGGCAACCGTTACTCGTTCGGAGCGCGACGAGAAGTGAGTGTGCCTACAGCTCCGGTGCCTACCTGGAAAATAGGGAGGGTGCTATACGTGCATCCGGGGCGGCTCACTTAAGTCACTAGCCTTATAGAGAACCGGATGAAGTACGTGCAAACGTGCTGATCCGGGGTTAGGACCTGACCTAGATGTTCCCTATGCAAGCTCGCACAGGTTATAGAGCCCTTCCCGCATAACCAAAACTAATGTAGGAAGATATGGAACTGTTTCCCTTTATGAAAAACACATAAATTTTTTATTAAAAAATTAAATAATGCAGAAGCACGTGAGAGAAAAAAAAACAAAATTATTCACATAACAATACAATTATCCCTCAAACGGCGGGTGACGGCAGGAATTAAACCTACGACCCCCGACATCACGTACCGACATTTAAAACAATGAACGCTTCAATTTTTCACCGGCGGTCCCCAAAAATGCAAGTACCAACTGCTAATCCTGCTAGATGGGAGGCAACCCTATTCTGTTAAATGTTGTTTGATTATAACGTAAATTACGTAGAACGTAGTAGTTTTAATCTTAATTGTCAAACCAAATGAACAAAATCTCGTACTTAATTTACTATAAATACTAGTTTGTAGCATTACTACTATTATTCTATCTAATTTTTATTACTTTTATGTGAAATAAGAAGCAAACGAGCAGACGAGTCACTTGATGGGAAGTAGTCATCGTGGTCATCATCAGTGGCCCGTGAATATGTGCTACTTCAGAAGAGCGCCTATGCGTTGCCAGCATTTGAGAGCCCTGTTGACTCGCTTTTTGAATAACCCCATGTCACAGCGCAAAGATAATATTCAGGAGCATTCCACATCTTAGAGGTTCGAGGAGGGAATGAGTGTGATACCTGCGACATTGACTTACGCATAAAATACGGACTTAACTTTAACATTATTAGGGGCACGGAAATGCCCTCGCGAAAAGGCGGTTTATACTTTAGCGACAAAATTTTGTTAAAATAGTTATTGTGGTATTTTTTTAGATAATTTTATTTTCTTTCTCTTTCGTGGATATTGGAGAGGTGAAAGATGTGTACTAGAATTGTAATAAATGAACGGCAGCGGTATCTGCATACCCAGATGAAAAAAAAGCGTAAACATATTTATGTTTATTTTAAAATAATTTCACGTGCAAACAAATTTTGGACTAGCCCATTTCATGCTTATTAGGATCAGATCCATTAATCCCTAGACCACGGTTCTACGTATAAAATAGCGAGCGTATTCTATTCTTTAACCCATCGAGAAAGAGTTTGGCCAGAGAGGTACTGCCACCATACAATTAAGTGAGAATCACCGCGTTCCGTTTGAAAGGTAAAGGCGCTGGTGAAACTGCCGGCACATGGGACTTGTCAACTTTATGTGTCAGGGTGATGTACGCAGAGGTAGTATCCCTCAGATATTTGCGATTTAAAGCTCTAAGAGACTAATGACTAATTTTGAATCGTTACATGATATCATAAATAAATAATCTATTAAACAAATACTAATAAATATTTAAGTATATGTAAAGGTTAACCACCCCGGCGCTTTGACAGGCCTGCCTAGTGATATTGGTATGCAGCAGCTCAAATTGTCTCCTGCATTTGTAGACAAATTTACAAACTTTTTTACAATTTGTGAAGGATATATTCTTAGTATGATTTTGTAGGTTTTAGCGCGGGTCGAACTGGCAACCAGGCGCCTAACAATTGTGGGCTAAGGTAATTATTACGGAGCAATTTTGTAACACACCTTAATATGTGGTGATATTAGCAACGAACTGGTAACGCAGTTATTATTTTGGTTATTCAGTAACGTAAGTATAGATGTTTTTTTTTCGAATTTATGCTGAAAATTATTTTTAACCGATTTTAATGATGGACATAAACACCACTTAAGCAAAATATTATTTAGAGATAGCACCTATGTACACTTCGAAAATGCGCATTACAAAGAACAATGGTGAAAGCATTCAAAGCAGAAAACTTCGAAATAGAATATTTAATTTCAGACTTGTCAAAATAAACCTAACACCAAATTTGTTCAGGAATTTAAACTCCATATTTTCATATATTTTTCATAAACAGACGCATGCATATTATGTCAACAAAAATTTATATGGTAGTTCGCCATTGTTGTTTACACACGAATATGTTTATTACTTCTTTGTAATGTTCAAATGTTTTATATCCAACAGAAAATCTTGAATTCTTAGAAGAAAAATTGCTTTGAAAGAAGTTATAATATTTTTATTGGACATCGTTGTGTCTTGTCACTATCTGGCAGTTAAATTCTTCATCTAAAATACCTCTCCACTACTAGACGTTAGTTGTCAATATGGCAAACCTGTCCCTAGGCCAAACGAAACAGTTACTAATTTATTAGTCCCGAGTTTGAACCCCGGCCGGATCAATAAAGAAACTAACTTTTCTATATTGTCCCGAGTCTGGGTGTTTGAGGTGCCGTCGTTGTTTCCGATTTCTATAACACAAATGCTTTAGTTACTTCATGAGTAACGTACGTAATGTTATCTAATATTTGTATCTAAAAAAATATATTTATTATAGTTGAAACTGTACTTACAAAAGCAAAAAACTAGGAACACGATTAAAACTATTATTTGTTATGTTGTACGGTCATATTGTTTATTGATGTTGCATTGTAAATCACAAAAATTCTGATATAAATAATAAGCATCGAGTATATAACCAGAAATAGAGACGAAATAAGGGCCATACGTCTCTGGTAGCTCTTCAGTGATACATCACTTATAAATATCAACTCTCGTTTGCACTGAAATATAGACAGCGCCAACAACTGACCTGTGTGTACGTCTCTGCATATTCCAAAAATATTCTGTATTTATTGTAATTAAACATAATATATCTAACAATGGTGTTAATTCTGTGGTGTGGGAAAAAGAAGAATCAAAACATCTTATTACAAAACAAACGGAATCAAATTTCATCGGTAATTAAATATTAAATATGTAATTTTGCAATTCTCGTCCATTATAACAAAGCTCAAGTCAAAGTGGTCGATTTGAAGTGAAACAATTGACGACACTCGTCAATTGTTTCGAATTCGGACTGGCCAATCGGAGCGCAGTTATCACAGTAAAGATATGGCAGAATAGTTTTAAAACAAATTAAATAACATTTCGTCTCTATTTCGGGTTATATACTCGATGACAATATATAATAAATGATCCTATTCCGTAATATGATTTTTGTATAAGGAGGGATTTCCCTTGCGATATGTTTGAGTTCCATTCCCAGGGCTGAACTTACGTAACAGTGGGTTTTTTTTTTCAAATGACTCTTTCGGTCATTAAACTGGTTCTTCAAACTCATTGACGACATATTAAGTTGCCCGCATAAGCCAAAACAGTTGACTATGAAATGAGCCAAGAAGTGGAA